ACCACTTGCACCCACCCATAGAATCACCATATCATATGATGTCACATACTCAAGCTTACCGTTTAGGTGGAATGACACATGCATATCATAAGGCACTTGCACATAACAGCTCAACAACATTTCAAATATTCAAACATGAAAACACATCATGCATATAAACCATTCCCCCATGGGATATGGTGGAACCAACAATGGCTAAACTGAGGACACGAAAGCTTACCTCCTAAGCAATCAATCCAAGCCAAAGTCCACACTAGCTCAAAGTCCACAAACAGCAAAATCACAATCTGTTTTAGACCAACAATCATATCATCATTCATCATCTAATAATTCAAGACATAACAACAATGTTTTCTTCTTCGTTTAATGTCTTTAGGCTTCTCACAAAGCCATAAGCCCATAATCACTTTGATTCTGACTTAGATAATTATTATAGAGGTTCAACTTAACCAATCATGGGTTCAAAAATCCAAAAATACCATTTTGTCCGAACAGAACAGTGACACTATCAAAATACCTAGAATATCCAGATATTTGTTGGGGCCATATCCGGATATCTTCAACCCCATATCTGGATATCATATCCGGACATTTTGCGATAAAATGTAGTTCTGCATTTTCGCGAAGATATCACACAAAGGTTGTTCTTTTAACGTTTCCAGGAACTTAAACATGCATTTCTAGGTGTGTTTAAGCTTACCCACCCTTAAGTTATTAACTTTAGCTTGTTACATGCATCAAGGTCCATTCTTTTCAAAGAAAACTCAAGACAAAGGTGATGGTGCTTACCACCAAGGCTTGGAACAAAAACAATGATGCTCTTGGAGCTCACAATGCAGCTCCAACAACCTAACTTCAAGGGGCCACGAAAATAGAGATCAAGCAAGGTCCTTTCTCCACAAAGTTAGCTCCTTGAAGCTCCAAAAGCCAAGACAATGGCTCATTCCCCACAAAACAGTGAAACCAGACCTCACACACCCAACCTAGTGGCTGCAAAGACTCAAAACAAGGTGGCTATCAACCTTATAAGACTTGCTCTCAACATCTATGGTGACTCAATGAGGAAACTAGGAAGAAAAATAATCTCTTGAAGGTTTCTATGGTGGAAGAAGAGGATGGCAAGGGTGATAGCCTCAAGCCTCAGAAAAGACTCACGTAGGATAAGAGTATGGGCTAAGGTTTTGGGCCAAAATGAGTATATATAGCCCGTTTAAGTTTAAACACATTGTATTAGCACTAATAGCTACGTTTAACATTTTAATCCCAAACTTTGGATTCTGAACCTAGCCATTTTTCTAAGATTTGTCATATTTTTATTTTATTTTTCGCAGCACTTTGCCGGTACGCGCTTTTGCGTAGCTAGTATCAGTTCTAACGCCAGTTCTCATTATTTTGACTCCAAACTTATTATACTAGTCCCATATAACATTCTAGTAATATATACGCACTTTTCATAATTTTTCGGGATACTTCAACGGTACGTATTTATACCGTGAGGCAGAACCAATATCTGCACTTTTCGTCAGAAAAGCGACTTTCAACATTATTAATCACTTACTATAATTAATTAAGCCTTCTCGTAATTATTAGGGTCAATTATTGAATTATCTCATTAATCTCATAATTAATTAATTAAATTCCTAAATTAGCTGTGCGATTCTTACATTTTTCTAGTGTGAAACAATCTGAAACAACAATAAAAATTAGAATCTTATCTATTTGTTGGCATTTTAATATTCTTCAATATTTTATTAATTAACATCATATTTTTAATCATATTATTATTATTTGAATTATATTTGACATTAAAACACAGTGTTTTTGACACTTATCACCAGTGTTATTAAACACATGAATTCTATCGGGTCACTGGATTAATGAATTATTGGTCGGATTAGAGGATTACTAATTGGACCGATTGATGCGGATGTATAAAAATATATATAAATATGAACAATAAATTTAATTATATTATCCATATCAAAAATGAATTAAATTTTTTTTCACTAAATAAGTTCAAAAATTACCTAATCACACTTTTAAAAGTTCATAAAACACAAATAAATAAAAATACATGCTATTACTATGTCAATTTAAATTACAACTCAAAATCTCCATAAGCATATCTCTCAATAACATTCTAAAGATCAAATGTTGTGAACTAATATTTTTTAAATTCATCTATATTGAAATATGATATATCATATTCTCTTAATTTATTGTTTCACAAATTGCTTCAATATTGGACGCTGAAATTTGAGGTCATTGTAGAAGAGTATACTACTAACAAAAGAAATTACAAAAAAATTTAAAATGAGTTCTACATTTTTTCTTACAAGATGATTTTATTCTATTTTATTTTTATTTTTTTAGTATTATTATAAAAATGCATGACCTGACTGGGTCACTGGTTTTGGCCGAGTTTTGACCGGGTTCGATGCATAGTCGGTTCGATGCTTGACTCGAACCGATCCGATGACCAGTTTGCCGGGTTTCAGGTCGACCCGGCCGGGTCGGGTCGGGTTTCAAAACACTGTTATGTACAACGAGTAATAAATAATTGTAATTTTAAAAACTATTTTTTTCTCTCTCTCCATAAATCGTCCGCTGATTTGGAAAAGAGAAAAAAATCAACCTTAATATTATAATTATGTATTACCGATAATATATAGTGTTAATTGATTACAAGGAGAAGTTTTTTCTCCTATAACAAAACAAGTTCGAACCCTTTTTAATTCAACCAAATCTTTCATCAAATTTTAACAATCTTATTGAAAAGACTAGTCATTAAACAGAAAAGTATTTCCTCATGCAAACACAATAATAGAGTTCCATATTCTTTTTTTCTTCCCACTTTTTTATAGATGTTTCTCTTTTCTAATGTAATAAGGGATAATATTTCTCGTGCCATTAATAAGTGTCAGGCGGGTCCAGGGGAAGCCCGTGGTGGGGGGCCACCACCAATGAGCTAAGGCTACACCAATCGTAGCAAGTGGATCCGACTCCATGTCTCAACCCAAAACCTTAAGGCATTGGGTTCATGGGTCCTTCCACTTATATACTCTTTACTTAGCTCATTACCAACCAATGTGGGACTCATCACACTTGAATATCTCAACAATCTCCCCCTCAAGTGTGAAACTCAACATTGATATGCTCCCCCTCAACCGAGTACCCCAAGCGCAAAGTACTCGACCCGCCTCCTAGCCAATCACCAGGCTAGCTCAAGCCCAACTCGGCTCTGATACCAATGTCATGCGGGTCCAGGGGAAGCCCGTGGTGGGGGGCCACCACCAATGAGCTATGGCTACACCAACCGTAGCAAGTGGATTTGACTCCATGTCTCAACCCTAAACCTTAAGGCATTGGGTTCATGGGTCCTTCCACTTATATACTCTTCACTTAGCTCATTACCAACCAATGTGGGACTCATCACACTTGAATATCTCAACAATCTCCCCCTCAAGTGTGAAACTCAACATTGATATGCTCCCCCTAAACCGAGTACCCCAAGCGCAAAGTACTCGACCCGCCTCCTAGCCAATCACCAGGCTAGTTCGATCCCAACTCGGCTCTGATACCAATGTCAGGCGGGTCCAGGGGAAGCCCGTGGTGGGGGACCACCACCAATGAGCTAAGGCTACACCAACCGTAGCAAGTGAATCCAACTCCATGTCTCAACCCAAAACCTTAAGGCATTGGGTTCATGGGTCCTTCCACTTATATACTCTTCACTTAGCTCATTACCAACCAATGTGGGACTCATCACACTTGAATATCTCAACAATAAGTGGTAGGATGTATCACTTGTTTAAAAAAATAAAAAATAAAAAGAATAATATGAATTTTAGTGTCTCGTAACATAAAAAAATTATCTCTTATTGTACCAAAAAAATAACTTCCCTCTCCGTATATCCCACTGATTTATTGACTGACTGCGGGAGGAAATAGTTTTCACTAAGGGGGTGTTTGGTTTGGGGTATATTTTCAGAATGATAGATATATGAGTAGTGGGAAACTAAGAATGATGCATTTGGTTCGCTTTCCTTCTTCATTTGCGTAGGAAACGAAGATGCATAGGAAACCAAGATACATAGCATTTTGTCCTCAAAAAGCCGGCCAAGAAACTCCTCTGCGTAGGTGGTTTTTACAAAAAGCAGGACAATTTCTCACTTCATATTTTATGCCAAAGACGAACGTACCCCTTCTCCCTCTTCTCACTTCCAAACACGAAAACTTGCGGTGAGGCAGAGGGAAGCATGGAAGTGAGAGCTCATGGCATTTGCTAATGCTGCAGTGATAGCTCCCTCTTCTCTGTATGGGGTTGTTCGAATCTGTTATTGTGACCCAAAAGCTCCCCTATTGGGCTCTCATGGCGATTTGGGTTCTGGGTTTTGTAGTTCTGCGTTTTGCGTTGGGTCCCATGCTGGGAAGAGTGACGTTGTGCTTGAAAGGAGGAGGTTGAAGTCTGTTGATACCCGCATTGTTGAAAATACCCAGATGAAATCCACTATTGAAATTCGAGTTTCTTGCTATCAGGTTGAAGGCTGTACGGGTAAAGTAGCATGCCCCGTAATAATATTGTAAAAACAGGGTTATTTTTGTAAACATACCTAATTTCCTCATCTATATTTTACTTACAACCAAACATAGATTTTAAAAAAGTTACCTAATTTTTCCGGTAAAAATTTTCCCAACCAAACAACATTTTTTTACATTTATCTACCTATCTCACTTTCCATCCATTTCCCTATATATCACATTTCCCTATTATTCATAAAATTTACCCTAAACCAAACACCCCCTAGCAGGAGATAACTATTCCCCTAGACTAAGACAAACTTCAAGGGTTTTTTTCTCCTCCTACTAATTTACTCAATTGGGCTTTCTCTGCTTGTTGTATACTTTCTTTTTCTCTTCATTTCACTGTTTTTACCCATTGGCGCATCCACCAACTTTTGGGACCATTACAAAATGAGATGAAAGAGGAAATAAAGTGTTTGTGGCCTAAGAATAAGAAGCTGGACTAATTCCAAATTTGCAATAATAGTGAATCTTTTTAGGGTTTTTGGAATATTTGCAATGCTCTAAATTATCCTCACTAGTATTCTTCTAGCTAGCTGTTCTTGTAATCACAAAACTTTATGGATTTCTTCTTATCATTTCGTTGACCTCTGCTGAAACTTCATCATCTCTCTCTTTGCACGCACAAAACTCTGAATCTTTCCAACCTTGTGTATTTTTTTTTTTTTTTGGTTCTCAATATTTTCCACAAGATTTGATAACCCTTTGAGGTGTGAATCCCATTTGGAGCTTGTGGATATAATTTTTTTTTTTTGAAAAAGATCGAATCTTTTTGTGTTTCTCTATTGTGGGTTCTCATTGTCTGTTTCAAAGTCTTGCATTTTTTCAGCTTCAGGGATATATATTAATCTGTAGTTTTCTCCTTTAAAAGAGCACAAGAGAAGCATTTCTGAGAAGCATTGACAATCTCTGTTAGTCATGAGTTACCTTAATTCCCTTTCTCTTTTTAAGATTTTGCCATCTCTTAATGTTAGTTCTTAGTTAATTTGTTTTGTTCCATCTATAGCTTGACCATAATATTGACTTTCTTACTTTTTATTTTTTTGTTTTTTATTTTTTCTTGATTATGTCTAGAACATGGTGAGGGGAAAGATTCAGATGAAAAGAATTGAGAAAGAAGGAAGCCGTCAAGTGACCTTTTCAAAGCGTAAAAATGGGCTTCTAAAGAAAGCTCACGAGTTATCTGTTCTTTGTGAAGCACAAGTTGCTGTAATAATCTTCTCTCAGAAAGGCAGACTCTATGAATTCTCAAGTTCAGAGTACGTTATCTTCGACCTTGACTCTACAACGTAACATGATTCTTCTTTGTAAAATGATTTGCTTTGGAAATAGTCAAGTAGATATGGTATGATTGGTCAGTGTTTTCATGTACTTGCACTTGAATTATGGGTACGGGTAATTTGGTATCCTTGTATCTATTCCTCACGTTTTTAATATGCCTCAAACTACTTATAAGGTTTGGTGATCTCATGGGAAAATTTTGTGTATCTTTCCTTTTATTGGAAGCTACTAAAGTACTCACATAGGGTACTCAACCCTCACGGGTAGTGACATAGGGTACTCAATTTTCCAAAGTAAATTGAAAGCCCATCGGATAATTATATCCATAGCTTGGTTCGCTTTTGTACCCTGATCTAGCTAGGTAATTTCAGTGCTATATAGTGATGTCGGGTTTAGTTTGGTAGTGTTTTACATTAATTATAAAATCTCACCCAACACCTTAAAATTTTAGGTTGAATTAGTTCTTTATATGATATCAGAGCTAAAGCGATCAAGTGGTCAAGAGTTCGATATTCACCGCCCCCACTTTGTGGTAGAATTAAGTAAGCACAAAATAAACTAAAAATGAGCATGTATAGCACAAGATAGACAAAAAAATATGCCTGTATAATATCCATGCTTGGAGATCAAAGGGCTTCTTGAATTGATTCTTTACAACTTCTACGGTTGAAATGTGCCTCTAGCTACTACATAGTTGAAATATGAAAAATGGGAGCCATTCAAGTCTACCCTTTTAGGTGACAGTTAACTTTCCTGTTCTTTCCACTTGTTTTAACGTGTAATAATAAAGCTCAAGAGTGTAATTAGAGAAGGATTGACGGTTGATTTTCGTATCTATTTAAGGATTCTTATATGGAGAATTAATATCTTTGTAAGATAAATATCAGTGTTTAATAGTGTTCTTCGTAAGGAAGAAGGAAAGAGACAAGCATCTGAAATGTATACCTTGGACTTCACGTGTTCACATTTGTATGTGCATGTAAGGTGTCTTATAAATAGGTGTTGGAATAACGTGTATGATGAGTCCCGGTAGTGAGGGTCATACCGAGACTAGGAATGCAGTGTTTGATATTGGAATAATCATTTTAGGTGATGGATTGCATTTAATGCGTGAATGGGCACCATTTTTGTTAAGTCACTGCCAAATACTTAAAATGCTATTGCTGTAAACTACTAGAATCACTTAAACTTTAAACATTAAAAGAAAAATCAGTCTCTCTTCTCCACCGACAGAATCTTAATCCCGTTGGAAATGTTTTGTATCATTGAATATATCACATTAGCTAAAGGGAAATATGTTTCTCAAGTTGTATGAGACAATTTATTGAATGCAACACAAAAAAAAACAAGTAAGACCTGCAAAGAAAAAGAGAGAGAAAGAAAATTAATAATAAGTTTTATTCACTTTTTTGTGTGTTCCATGAAATAATTTGTCTCTTACAACTTGAGAAATACATTTCAGTTAAAATGTAGTTAAAGTAAAACCAAGAACGACCCTGTTATAACTTGAGGAAAATTATAGATGAATATAATTTTATTTTTTATTTTTGGCACACTTAATACAAGACTAAAATCTCCTATTTATACTAGAGGTGGGGAGATCGTTAGACTTTTATCAATAATTGTTTGAATATATTACAAACATAATACCATATTTAGAAATTAAATATTAAGTGCTTAAATAAATGTATGAACTTTCATAAAACAAGAAGTATTTTATAATACTAATGTTTTAGTAATTACATTCATATTTTTTATTTTTTATTTTTTATTTTTGACAGACCTATACATACAATTAAAATAGTATACATTTAATGCATTTAAATTTACTTTAAGCAACTGCGGACGTTTTTCAAATCATGAGAAATGGGGAACAGTTTCAGGTGCACACATGTGTTTATGTGGTTTTCCAATAAGCATTACTCAATGTAGTTTTTAACTTTACAATAGTGAGGAGAACATACATCCCTTTTCCTCTAATCGGAAAGAGAGATTGTTCCTATCTCTGTCTTTTAACCTTATTATTAACAGTTACATTCCGTACATTCCTTACACATTTCCTAGATGACTTGTAGTGACGACAAGTTGCAAATATATCATGTGTTTCGATTTGCTTTAATCCTATTAGTAGGGTGTTTAGATTACACTCAGCATATCCAAATAAAATTGAATTTTGCTTACAAATGATGTGATTGGTGATTTGTTTTGGATTATGCTTAAATATGATTTTGAACCTTAAATTATAGTTTTAAGTAAAAATGAATAACAGTTATATTTTGTTAGGTCAAATCACACGTAGCTAAGTTTAGTTACTTGTGTAGTGTAGACCACTAATTTAGGTTTTCTCATTGGCAGCAACATTATTTTTTTTGGATAAATAAAAGGTATTTTTTACGGGAGGTAATTTTGTTCAAGCCGGCAATATCCACATCATGGTGGAGCTAGTTATCCGAAAGAGAATTTTTTGCAATTCTATAGGTTTTTGATATTTACTGGCTCAGTAAATCTTCACTTGGAGAAACTTTAATCTATGGAAGTCCCATACCCATTTCATTATTTTATAGAAATGTGGTCTCTACCATGCGCTAGATGAATGGGATATATAATAATTAGTTATAGCAAGTCCAAATCTTAAAAGTATGTTTCATTTTCTGCTCTTTTATTTTACATTTCGTTATATAATTGCATTTCTATAAATAGTATTTATCCAAATGCGGTGTTTAAATAACTACATATACATTAGATGGCCAATTGTATGATTCTTTTTCTTACTTTGTCAAAATATGAAACCATACCTGGACCTCTAGATCGTTCATCACACCCATCATTTATGTCTTCAGTCATATATACCTTAATCATTGTTATGATAGGAAGAGGTGTTTAATGTCACTCATCTAATTGTAAGGATAATTTTCAAATGCAACATTTTTGTAATGTCTACAGTTAAAATGAATTTTTGTGCTATAATTGAAATGACTGAGATAGTTGGGTTATGCGCTGTTTGTCAAGTAGGAAGATATATTAAGATAAAGGCAGTGTATACTTCCTTTTAATTCGAAAATAGGGAATATGTAATTTTCATCACTTTCCTTAAAATATGAAAGATTAAGTTTTTATCTTTTTTGTTGAATGCTAACCTATTTTTTTTATTTTTTATTTTGAGGAATTGTAAATATTAATATTGTAAAAAATCGGACCGGTAATTAACTCAAAATTGGGATACTGAGTCAGTTGTTCAACCCGTGGATTATTGATTGAACTGCTTGATTAGAATTTATGTGAAAGTATGTAATGAATATTACAGTAATAATAAAAAATCTCAAATGGACTAGTGGCATAGTGGTTGGAGTCTCTTACTTCCTTCACTATGGTGGGATTCAAGTTCAGTTGGCTGCGTTCAACTGGTCCGGTTTCTTATCGGTTAAACCCGGTTCACAGGCAGGTCCATGATTCGCCGGTGCTTAAAAATTATCTGAATTGATGTTTTACATTCTTTAAAATTCCTACACATTTTGACTGCCATGTTTTGTATAGGATTCTTATGTATATAGCTAGCTTATATATATTAATGTCGACAGTATTTTGTTTTAAATGCTTCAGCATGAAAAAGATTTTGGAACGATACCGTGAATATGTCAAAGATGTTCCCGCTAATAAGTTCGAAGAGGACTTTATCCAGGTATGACTTTCATCTTAAAACTTTAGAACACTTCATATATGAAAGTGAATAATTAGTTATTTGTTAAGTATATTGTTTTGTTTGTGCTAACCAATTTGATGAAGGCTATAAATTAATTGTTAGATATCCTCATTTCAACTTTAATTTAGTTCTCTTTAAAAATTTCAGGAAACTTTTCTAATCTTATTATTTTGTAGTATGAAAACTATCCCATTCACACTAGCTATTTGTATTGCATCCTGTTGAAAGTTAACCGATGAATGAGATCAAGATATAAGACGTCTGGTACTTGTAAAGAACCAACCAAACATCATTCATACAAATAGTAAGGAGCTCGTGTCCTTTAACCAGAGGTCTTGAGTTTGAGCTCTGGAAATTGAAAAATGATCTTGGAAGAGCCGCCCACTTTATAGGATACGACACTACTCGAACGGACTAGTTTGAAGGATTAACTGGTTGAGGAGACTAAAAAAAAGAACCAATTCAACCCAAAAATTTAAGCTGATAGGTGAGGTTACATTAATGATTTTTATATATCTCTAACTTACCCCCTCACACATGAGAGCCCACCAGGCTTAAAGGATGAACAATGCATATACTCACCTACCTGTATTAAGAAACTCCATAATTAATATTTAATTAATATTAATTAATGGGAGGCGGTGAAGATCAAACCCGTGATATACCGAATCTCTAATGTATTATCCACCATCAAATCCAGCGGGTTCTCATGTGAGGGGACGTGTTAGAGAATAATATAAACCATTAAAAAGGCTCTCATCTAATAACTTAAGCTTTTAGGTTGAATTGGTTCTTTAAAGTACTCATCCTATTAATGGTGATAACCATTTTGTTAGTTGTAACCTTGAGATTTGATGTACGTATTTATGGTAAATATAGGCCTAATAACGCATAAGATGTATTGGATCCATAGTATATCAGTAAATCCATAAGTAGGGGCATTTGCTTGATAGAATGTAGGGGCATTTGCTTGATAGATCAACTGAATACTTGTCCTTGTCAAGGAAAAGGACCTTAAGAACAATTTTTGTTAAACAAATATGTGTATTGACACATCATTCATTTTTATTGAGCAAATATTATGTTCACTAGTGTATTAATAACGTTAACATTTTATTGACTTACTGAACTTAAGTTATAGGTGCATTAAATTTAGAATTTAAGTTAATACAATAATCCTTTAAATATAAATTACCTCAATATTTTAGTTTAATTACGACTCATGAGGTTCATTGTAATAATCTTGTACCATGTATACTACTGTTTTTGTGTCATCAAGATTATAAAGTTGTTATGTCAAAAATCAGGTCAAGTTAGGATGTTCTTAACTAATTAGTTTTGTATAATTTTCAATCTTAGGGTTATTTTATTTTATTTTTCCATAATCATTTATTATGATTTGTATTGTGCTTTGGTGTGTGTTTTTAGGAGTTTTTCCTGATAGGCTCAATATTAATCTATAGGAAATCTCTAGCTAGCCTTTATGATAATGTATCTGTTTTGTCTGCATGACAGAGATGTCTAGCCTAGGGTTAGTAGATCAATATGAGATTTTATGCTCTCTCTAGGTATATATGAATTAGATACCTTGGGATAGCGAATCACTATACACAACTACGAGGTTTTGGATGGTGTGTTTGCTCAGTGACAACATAATAGTAAAAGAGAGAGATCTGTCCATACATTTAGTCTTTACCTCTTATTTATAGAGTTTACCTTAGGGTTTGAACAATCTAGACCCTTTCTTCATGGCCCTAGCCCCAGTTGATACACACTGTATTGAAAAGAAGAAGAAGGAACAGAGAAATCAAGGAAAAAGGGTAAAACAAGCTTCTGTATTATTCTCAAGATGAATCCAAATCAATACAACAATCAACTTTTATATGCAAGTAAGTAATATATGTACAACTATGTGACCACACGTGTATACCAACAACCTAATCCCTATTACACATGTCAGCCTTCAACTATTCTAGTTGTCCTCACTTGAAGTCTTTTAATCATGCTAGTTTCACTCTTCTTCTGATGGGTCTACTTGGGCCAACCTCATTTGGGCTTGTAACAACACCATTTAAGCTTGTAACAACTACCCCTTCCTCCTGAGGGACCTTGTCCTCAAGGTCTATGTGTGGATATGCTACAATAAAATCTTCACTTGACTCCCAGCTAGTATCTTTGAGAACTATATCAGACCATTGGACCAAGAATTGTTTCTGGTCCTTACCTCCAACAGGAATAGTACGGGTTGCCAAGATTGCAATGAGGAGCTGCACAGGTCTGTTGTCAGCAACGTGGGGAGGCAGAGGAGCAACTTGAACATCTATCTGACCACGAAATGGCTTCAGACATGAAACATGAAATGTGGGATGAATCTTTGAAAAGGCAGGCAATTCCAATTGATAAGCCACAGGGCTAATATCCTTTTTAATAGCGAAGGAGCCATAAAAATGTTTAGCTAGCAAGCTTTTGATTGGATCTATGTTTCACAGAAAGCTGACGGTATGGTTGTAATTTAACTAGCACCAAGTCTCCTTCATAAAAAGTGATATCTCGGCGATGCCTATCAGCTTGGTTCTTCATGCGATTTTGAGCTCGCAGCAAGTTACTCTTCAGGCTAGACAACACTTCATTTCGTTGACAAAGAAGTGTACCTAAAGCTTAAATGGAAACTAGGCCACGAGGGTGATGTGGTATCATAGGAGGAAGATGCCCATAAACTGCTTGAAATGGGGACATGCCAATTGCCGAATGCACTGAGGAATTATATTGCAATTCTGCCCAGCAAAGAAATGAGGACCAACAGTGATGTTGCTCAGAGAAAAATGCCCTCAAATATTGCTCTAAATAGCGGTCGGTCACTTCAGATTGACCATTAGTCTGGGGATGGTAACTGGAGCCTGTCTTGAGCTTGATACCACTCAAAGAGAAGAGTTTCTGCCAGAATTTACTCATAAAGACCGGATCTCGATCAGAAACAATTGAACGAGGGAAGCCATGTAACTTGATGATTTGCTCACAAAAAATGCGAGCCACAACAGCTGCTGTAACTAATTGTGGAAGACCAACAAAGTGAGCATACTTGGATAAGCGGTCCACAACCGCTAGCACTGTAGTAAGGCAATTCAAATGAGGCAAACTAGTGATGAAATCCAGTGTTAAGTCCTCAAAAATAGCTTCCGGAATTGGTAATAGGTTAAGTAAACCCAAAGGCGCCGAGGTAGATGTTTTTATCTGTTGGAAAATGATGCATTCTTGAACAAAAAGGGTCACATCTCTGTACATATGCTGCCAATGAAAAAAAGCAGATAAGCGGAGAAATGTTCTAAGGGAGCCAACATGTCCACCCAATGGACTACAATGAGCTTCCTCCATGAGTGCTGTCTTCAAAAGCGATTGAGAACCTAAATAAAATCGCCCTTTGTGATAAATGATACCATCCTTGCAGGTAAAAAAAATCAAGTAAGAGACCGTCTGAGAATTTCTAGTGCAAGGAAAGCAACTCTAGATCAGAACCATTTTATGCCTTTATGCTGTCAATAAGCTCAAACTTTGGCTCAGACAATAAAGCCATTAAAGAACTACATCATTATCATCAAATTGTCTCGACAAGGCATCAACCACAATATTAGAGGTACCAGGTTTATATTCAATTGAAAATGAATAGCCCAAAAGTTTATGGACATACCGATGCTGTTCAGGGCTTTTAACCATACAAGTGGTCTTTACCTCTTATTTATAGGGTTTACCTTAGGGTTTGAACAATTTGGACCCTTTCTTCATGGCCCCAGTTGTCTTCTTGCATAGTTGCCGAGTGTCTGCCCTTTATTGGACCTTTTAGGTATATGGGCCTTATATACGTCCATAACAGTTGTCCCCCAGTCCGGTAGCCTGATTGTCTAAGCTACTGGGGTGCATGCGTTTTGCAAATAATTTTTCCAGCCTGACTTTTTTCTTTGGCTTTATTCAGGAATAAAAACTCTTTTAGCTTAGTATTTTCTTTTACCCTGCTGGCTGAGGGGCTTTGCTTCCGCTTTTATATACTTTATCCCGAGTTCAGTATGATCATATTTGGACTCTGCTGAACCGGGATGCAGCCTGAACCGAGGCGTAAATGCAGCTTTTAGCTTTCATTTTAACTTTAGGATCTTGATCATTGCGAAATGTTGAAAGGCATGGGGATATTTTGTTCTTCCTCTACCATCCTTCATAGCTGAGATATTGATATTACCCTTGTTAACTCCTTTACCAGTATCAACTCTTCATATCCCTGCTCATCAGGCTTAATTTGCTCTGTGAGACGTTATTTCTTCCAAGCAATGATAATTGCTTTCTACATGACATTTTTTTTATAGGTTTGACGTGCGTTGTTGTCCTTTCCATGCCGTTTGCAATTAATATAAACTGTCAAGATGTCCTTCAACTGTCTTGTCTGTTGTATGATATTACCAAGCTACCCTTGCCTTTTCACTTCGTGCCATTTAGCCGTTTGATTTCTTCCTTCCTTTTTATCATCCCCACGTTTCATTCTGCCCCTTTGTTCACATCTTCCTTGCTGACGTTTCTGCTACTTCGCCTTTGCCTGTTGTCATTCTCGCTGCTGAGGATTCGCTCGATTCTTCACCCTTTCCTTCGTCTTCTCTTCCAGGTACTCCTCCCTAATCATAACTTATCAATCAATTTATGCATTCTGGTATGCTATTACAAATCCATGTGCATTTTTCAATTGTTGCTTTATTATTCCACTATTGAGTTGCCTATGAGTACTTCTTTTGCATTGCGCTTTCTGGGTATGCATTTGTTTTTCTTTCTTTACTTTTGCTGTTAGTTTATGGACATGTGGACATATTTAATTTGGGTTTCCCAAATCACCCATTCTTACTCCCCTTTTCTGAACCTATTTTTTAGTATGAGTGAGGGAAGTTCCAGTGGACAGGGAAAACCAACTTGCCCCTATGGTTTTGGCCGAAGTGATGAGATTGATGAAGAAGATGAGATATTTATCCAGATCCTTTCTCCAGGTCCGAGGTATTAGATTTTTGGGAGACCTCGGACTGAAGAAGAAAAGCAGGCAGCATTATTAAGGGGATATCGAGGAGGTGGAAGTAGGAGGACATCATCATTTTGTCTTCCTAACCGAGGACATGATCAAAGCGGCGGTCGTAGCTCAGGGGCTATAGCTGAAGTCGGAAAAATCAGTGCTTCTTTGAGTTTAGGCAAACCATCGTCCTCAAAACCAGGGGCTATAACCGAAGTTGACCTTTCTCATCTTCTTTGACCAGGGCTGCACTAACTGTTGTTTCCCTTACAGACAAATATATTATCAGGGTTTCCCCTGGCCTTGGTTTTGATAGAACCGATGGTGAAGCCAGATGCCTTTTTATTTCTTAGAAATTTGTTTCACATTCCGGGCTCCACCCATATTGCATTTCTTTTCTCAACAAGAATCTAGTAAGGGAAGCTAACCGCCCTATTAGTTGTTGGATTTCCTTCTTGTTTCTCGGTACTTGCATATCTAGCACGACTCTACACTTGTCCGGGTTTGCCTCAATTCCTCTATGGGTCAACATAAAATCCAAGAATTTTCCAGGAGGAACCCCAAAGGCACATTTTGCCGGGTTTAATCGAATGTTATGCCTTCTCAACTCCTCAAAGGTCTGCTCCAAATCACCTACATGTGCGACAAGCTCTAATGACTTTACGATCATGTCATCAATATATACTTCCACATTTCTTCCGAGTTGATCTTCAAAAACTCGGTTCTTCATTCTTTGGTAAGTGGCCCTCGAATTCTTTAATCCAAAGGGCATCACATTATAGCAGTAATTCTCCTTTTCCGAGATAAAGGTCGTCTTCTCTTGGTCATCAAGATACAAAGGGATTTGGTTGTATCCTGAATACGCATCCATGAAAGATAATAACCTGAATCACGAGGAGATGTCTACGAACTGATCAATATTTGGCATAGGATACAAATCCTTCAGACATACCTTATTTAAGTCGGTATAATCCGTACAAACCCTCCATTTGCCATTTGGCTTCTTTACCATTACCACATTGGACAACCAGATAGTGTATTGTATCTCTCTAATGAACCCAGCTTCCAAAAGTTCCTTGACGTGGTCCTCCAATACTTGCCCATGTTCTGAGCCAAGCTTCATTTTCTGTTGAGTCACTGGCTTGGCTCCTAGATATATTGACAGCTTGTGATAGCAGAACGCTGGATCTATCCTAGGAATCTCAGACAACTTCCATGCAAAACATCTTTATTATCTTTAAGGCGTTTAATTAACACTGCTTTTACCTCGGCTTCCAACCCATTTCCTATCTTGGCCGTCTGACTGAGCTCTCCTATCATAATTTCTTCAAGTTCCCCATCAGGTTTAGGTTTAGGCAACTAGGTTTCGTTGTTCCATCTTCCTTGGTTGATCGTCTTCTCTTTTCTGGGTTGGGGAGGAAGGTCCATCCTCAATGGCCCTAACTGACCTGAAGTAGCACTCTCGTGACTTCTTTTGATCTCCTCCGATAGTGATTACCATATTTTGCTTGCTCACCATCTTCAACTTCTGATATTTTATGGATACCAACATATCCCAATTATGGATAGTTGGCCTCCCTAGAATGATATTTATGGTGAAGGGAAATCAGCTACAATGAACCTCATCCTTTCTGATTTGTATGTCTTCTTCGACCCCAAAGTTAATCTGAGGTCAATATACCTCTTAGGAGAGGTGTTTTGGCCATTTAATGCAATTAGGGTTGCCTTGCAAGGCTTCAAATCTTCTTGTGTCCAAATTTATTTTCTTGAATGCATCCCACATGATTATATCAAAACAGTTATCATTGTCCATAAACATCTTCTTAAGCTCGCAATTAACCAGAGTTCCTGTAATTTCTAGGCCATCTACATGCCCAGGTATCATATCCTCCAACTCTTCTTTTGTGAAATACAAGAGTGGTGGTTACGGCTTGCTGGAGTCTTCCTTAAACTTGGGCCGCTCTCTGACTGAGAGTACTTCCTTCAAATATTTCCTCTGAGCACTTATTGTATCTCCACCACTGCCTAGTGCTCCGCTATTCATGTTACATTCGAACTCTAGTTCCATGAACTCGTCTTTGTCTTCATCTGGTTTCTTGTCTCTGTTTTCCTCCCTTGGCTTCTTTTCTCTTGCCAGGCTACAATTACAGCCCTTTTTCTTTCTTTTATTCTTTCATCCTTATGTTTTAATTAGATACTGGCGTAATTTGCCATCTCTAATATACTTTTCAATTGCATCCCTCAAGTCCCAACTTTCATCCGTGGTATGCCCTCGGCCGTCGTGGAATGCGTAATAGTCTAGGTTGTCCTTGTTATTAGAGGTCGAAGTTTCTCTATCTTTTTCATCTCGGATAGAGCTACCTCCCTCCAAATCTGGGATCGCGACAAGTTGAGTGGAGCAAAATTTTCATACCTTCCTCTTGGTGGCGGTCTTTCTTAGGGATTCTTACCCCGAAAATCACCTTGCCTCCTTTTTCCAGGCTTCTCTGTTCTTCCCGCGCTTCTCTTTGGATCAGAGTTCTCTATCTCCATTTGTTCCAGCTCAAGGTACTTTTTTGACCGACCTGTAAATTCCACCAATGTAGCTAATTGGGTCCTTGTAGATGGATGTTGCTAGTCTAGAGGACCTATGCAACCCGGCCACAACTAAGTGCACACGAACATTTTAAGACAATCCAGGGACTTGTAGTGCCGCTTCTTTAAAGCGATCCAGGTACCTCTGGAGAGATTCACCGGGTTGCTGCCTTATTTTTCTCAGAGCAAATTCTGACTTCAGCTTCTTTTTGCAGGTGGCGAAGTTTAACAAAAACCTCCCACCAAACTCCTCAAAAGACCTAATAGATCCTGCCGGCAATGAAGAGAACTACATCTGAGCTGCTCCCATCAGAGTTGTCACAAACAGCTGCGTAATCAATGGTTCTTCCATACCTTTGATATACATAGTTGTATTGAAAGTATCCAGATGGACCTGGGGGTGCTGATTTTCATCATACTTCGGTAGCTCCGATAAGTTGAGATTCTCAGGAAAAGGTGCATCAACAATTTCATCAACAAAGGGGCTATTATTGTATTGTCCCCTATGGTACTTCCTCTTGTACACTCCTGTCACATCATCCGGGTTCCTTGGCTTCCTGGGTTGATCATCATATAGCCCCGTATGCTCGGCTCTCCTACGTGCTTCGGCGTCATCCCCTTGGAAATTGTCTCTTCCTCCATCTTGCAATTGATTTCTTCTTTCCAGCCTGCAGAGTTGTTTATTCTGGGTTGTCCTATTCATTGTGTCCTCGGGTCTTCCATATTGGCTACGACCTGCATGATCAACCTGTCTTCGACTTCCTTCGCCGACATGTGTTGTCGGGTCGAGGTCGTTTCTTCCCTGGTCATTGTTTGGCTTAGTCACCCTTCATGGAGGACTTGATATCCTTAGATCATTCATAACCCGAGTCATAGCCTGCCTAGGCTCTGGGTTCCTAGCCTGTAGTAATCTTGCTTCCATATTTCGGATCCGCTGCGCAGCCTTTTCTCGTTGAAGCTGATTACGTCTCTCCATCTCCTCCATCCTTCTTAACACTAGCAAAAACAAGATCTGTAACACGCTGGTCTTCAATGATTTCAAATGGGATCTGCACAACATTTGGGATCTGTAACTTCTAAATTTGGGACACTTTTTCTGCAGAGAGCTGCTATCTGCAGCTGACACAAAAAAGTGGGCCTCACTGCTTTTCTTAAATAAATAAAAAAGTCAGGATACAGAACCGTATCCTAAGATCCTAGTCTGTATTCTGGCTTGCTGTATGTGCAGCGACTGAAAAAATAATTTTGCATATATATACTCAATTCTCAAACATTACGCCCATTTGAAAATGCAGTTAGGTGTTTGTATATCCATTATGCTCTCCTATTACCATAACCCATATAAAAAATCTTGATGGTGTTTCACCATTGGACCTTTCTTGTAAATTCTCTAAAAATCCAACAGTCAATATAATTGATACTAAATTAATAATGGCTTGATAATTGACATATCTTTCCACCATTTCAGGAGATGTATACTTTGTTAATTTCATTGATAATTGAGATTTATTGAATAGAAAAGCAACAACAACTAAACGTATTTGTAACCCTAACTGATTAATTTTTTGAAATAATTGGTTTCTTGATATGGATCAGGATCTTTTCTACCAAGTAGTCAAGGGTCCATCCAAATATGTTCATTAAATTATAATTTCTGCTTAAGTTTTTATCTCAATTCTCAAATGTTTATACTGTAGCCTTTTCCTTGCAAAGTTACTTTATGTTTTCAGTTCTTCATAAATGTAATCGTAACTAATAAAGAGAGTTTGTTGAGATTAGTAAGCTGCATTCATATCAAGCTCTCGAATGTTGATTATATTCTTGATCTCGTAGTTTCGTAGATATATATGTGGGGTTCACCGCATAGAGGAGAGAAAAAAAACACAAAGTGGATCCCACTTTGATTTTGTATTTGCACTGTAACATGAGAAAATCAATACTCTTTTTATTATTATAGTCAGTCATGTATGTTGCTAATTTTTTTTAATGTTTTATATGCAGAAACTCGTGTTTGAGTCATCAAGCATGGCAAAGGAGATAGAGCTTCTTGAACATTCTCAAAGGTGACTCATTAGTTTAAATAACTAGCTAGTTTTTCATACCAATAGCTCATCCGTTTTTCAATACTTTTTCACTGTCTGTGTGTGAGAATTCACTGGTAGTTGAGATAGTGATATCACATTAGGAAAAAAAATTTTTTTTTTTTTTTTTGGAAATATTCCAAAGGTGGTACTGGGGAGATTCGAACACATGCTTTCACCCCACCTGCTTAACTCCCATGTGCCAATTGAGCTACCACCATTTGGTGGAAATTTTTTTCTTGATTAATGCTTTTAAACAGTTTTTTGATCCAATCCAAATAAAGCTGATATATATTAGGTTAAGTTGTGGCCTCAAATGAGTTGCACTGCCAACAATTTTCAGTATGATATTTGAATGTCTTAGGATGCTACTGGGACATGGCTTGAATTCTTGTTCTCTTGATGAACTCCAAGGAATTGAGGACCAGCTGGAGAGAAGTTTGCAAAAGATCAGGCAGAGAAAGGTAAGTAACTTGAGATTAAAAAAAAAAAAAAACAGAAATGTGATTTAATGAAGTGATAAGATATTATACTTACCTTTTTTATTTTATACCTACTTTACTTAGTCTTCTCTGACATCGTTAGATCATAATCTCTACTAACTTTCATCATTTCTCTCTTGTATTGAGATTATAATCTAATGGTGTGAAAAAGGAGCAGGTAAAATAGGTATGAAAGAATGGAGGAACAAAATTGAGGATTTGATCTTGTTTCAGGGTCAGCTTTTTAGGGAGCACATTGAACAACTAAAAAACAAGGTACACTCAGCTCAAATGCAAATTAAATGGAAGCGCTTATTAGTGTTATTGAAATCCTTCACGCCTAACACAGTTTCCACACTAAATTCAGGAGCGAGACATACTCAGAGAGAATGCTAAATTAAGTGAAATGGTGAGCTTCTACTCTCTTTTTTAATTTTGGTACCATATTATTGGATTATATGTGATCTTAATTAATCTGCAAAAAGGGGGAAAAAAATACCAAAAAATATTATGTCTCCTCTTTCATGAGCCATGTTTGTTAGTTGTTGATCTCATCTTTGATGTGGGTGTCTAGTTTATCAAGCCTTTTCTTAGTAAATCTCCGCAACCATTGAGAGTGATTTACCTCTTATGGTTATATATTGTATCATTTAGATTCATGAGATTTTAAACTTAATACTTAGACAACATGGGGTTTCATACATAAATATTTTTTTAATTTAAATTTTATCTTATATTATTATAATATTATCAATTAAAATTATTAAATAAAATTATAATACAATTATATTAAAGATTAAATTTCTCAAAAACAATTTTTATTCTTAGTTTAAATAAATATTTTTATTTTTATTTTTATCATTACTTTATACCAAGAATATGAAAATATAACACGATAATAATTGATAAAAATAAATTTTAAAAAATTATTAATATCTATTAAAAAAATATTCACAAATTTTTTTATAGTTTATTTATTTTAAAAATCATTTATTTAAAAATTATCTTAAAAATTAAAAATATTATAACATTAAGTATTTTGTAAATAATTAAAAAATTTATTTAATTCAAATTAATTTTCATCTATAAAATTATATATTTAAGTGTTTTAAGAACATAATATGTCGTAAAAATTAAGTATCATCTTAAAAATTAGTAATAGTGCCAATATTTACTTCCCAACAAGGTAATAAGATTTGATTAGATAGTTCTTAATCAATAATGTTGTTAAATACATTTGAAGATAATTTCACATATAAATGAAGATTATTGTTACAAAACACAATAAATATACTTAAGTTAAATATTCTTTATTTTATTTTTTTATTCCTTAGTTTTTTTTTGGTGAAAGTAAAATGATAACTTATTCATTGTCGTTGATTAAAATGTTAGAAACTTTATTTAATTCAAATTAATTATCATCTAAAAAATTATATATTAAGTGTTTTGAAAACATAATATGTCGTAAAAATTAAGTATCATCTTAAAAATTAGTAATAATGCTATTATTCACTTCCCAACAAGGTCATTAGATTTGATTAGATAGTTACTAATCAATAATATTGTCAAATACATTCGAAGATAATGCCACATATAAATGTAGATTATTGTTACAAAATACAATAAAAATACTTAAGCCAAATAATCTTTAGTGTTTTTTTTTTTGGTGAAATTAAAGTGATGTGTAATTCACTGTCGTTGATTGAAAATATTAAAAAAATTATCTAATTGAAATTAATTATCATCTATAAAATTATATATTTAAGTGTTTTGAAAACATAATATTTCGTAAAAGTTAAGTGTCATCTTAAAAATTAGTAATAGTGCCATTATTTACTTCCCAACAATGTAATTAGGTTTGATTTGGTATTTATTAATCAATAATATTGTTAAATAAATATAATGATAATTTCACATATAAATGTAGAATATTGTTACACAATATAATAAAGGGCTTTATTTTTATTATGTTACATAACATAAAATCATCTTCCTACACACACAAATTTTATATGGGACCCACTTTAAATTTTTTCTCTTTTTCCTATGCTCTCTCCTCTCTCTTCCTTTTGTGAGAGTAGGAAATTTGTTTTTATGTTATGTTACGTAACAAAAACATTTCCCTATAATAAAACATAAAACTACCTAAGCTAAATAATCTTTTTTTTTTTTTGGGGGGTGGGGGTTGGTCCTTTTTCTTTTCTGGGTCTAGTTGGGTTGTTGGGTCATTACCACTTGCTTGTTTTTGTTTTTATCATTAACTTAGGTGCAATGTAAAGTAAGCCGTAACCCAAGCCCACATCCTCGCAGTCCACATCATCTTCTAATTAGTATTTACTACATGACAAGAAACCCAAACCAAATTTTTTTCTTTCACAAAAAACACAGTTTTTACGACAGAAAAATTTCTTATGAATTTTGAATGTATGTTCTTTATATATTATCTTGATCATTAGCTATTAGATCTTCTTAAATTACTCTTAATGCATCAATTATATAATCATAAAGATTAGTTCCGTTGTGTCCAATTTTTTTTTTTTATTACTTTCGTTATATTAAGAGAAAAGAGAATTGATCCACTCATGTCTTATTTTAACATGATCATAAATAAATAAAAAAATCATTCATCCGTTAAACTCGACTAGCGAGTTTTGGATGGAGGCAATTCTTGTACGTAGTCTTATCCTTACATAATTGCAAAGAAACTGTTTCTTGTATTTCTCAATCCTTTATTGGTAGATAAATGATCAATAATTTTGATAATAAAATTCGTAAAATAAAAAAAAAAAAGCATATGATCATTTTAATTGGTTATGTTGATCTATAAATACATAAAAGAAATGTTTTATATGTTAAAACAAGACACCGGAGGAGGATTTACACTAGTCACCACCACCTTTGACCTAATCAAAGTTTACCTTTTCTTTTTATGAAGAATTGAAGCAATTTGTGGGGCAATTATTACAATAATACAATTACATAACAAACAACCTTGTCACTTTTTAAAAGGAACTTATAGCCATCACCTTTTCTAAGCTTTTCTTGTTGATGAAATGATGGCAGTGTGGTGAAAAATCATGGCCGCAGCAATGGGTTAAACCCACAGAAGCAGCACCCCACAGTCCAAGTAGCCACAGTTTACATGTAGTGGATACTGAATTGTTTATTGGCTTGCCAGAACAGCGATGCTGATATATATATATATATATATATATATATATAGAGCTCGTTGTTTATTATTATTATTATTATTTTGGAAGAAGATCAGCCCCAATGTTGTCTTAGAAATAATGTTTTGATTTCATTGTATAAAATCAGTCTAGTCTCCATTCTTCTCAACCTCAAACCACTCTTCCTATAATTCTTCCATGTAACTTAAGACTGATTTTACTCCCATTCTAAATAAAAGGTTGTACGTATATATGTATCCCTATAATATCATTGCCATGTTCATTTTCCCCATTGCTCTCTCTCTCTCTCTCTCTCAAATTTAAAACTTGAAGAAGGTACATAGAATCGTTGTTTTTTATTTGTATCTATTAGCATTCAAATTTCTGTGTCATTTCATAATGGGGTCGCTGAAAATATGCCTCAGGGGGGACAACAATTTTGCAGAGCTTGGTTCTGGTTCAATGAGAGAATAATTTTTTGGCCAAACTTTGGTATAGGAAATCAAACCACGTGGAGCACGAATCGTTTGTTTCCATGACATAGCTAGTTATTTCAATCATAGATATAAAGTATAAACCAGCTATTTCTATATTCAAGAGAACTATTTCTTAAAAAAGTTCATTCTTTATCCTCCGCTGCTTTTCCTTTTCTTTTCCATCATTTTTCCAAGATGACAAACAATACCATTTCTAGGTACGAATTATAAGTTTTATTGAGGCATATGTAACGCCTCTCTATTAACCAGTTACATACTAATTTACCATATATTCCCCATAATAATCACAAAACAAAAATATGTTCAGGTAATCCCATACCCCAGAACCAGAAATTGGTTTGTTTGATTGTATTCTATATTTTTTTTAAAAAAAACTGTTTTATAGAATAGTTAATGAAATATGTGATTTTTTATACTTTTTTATTTTAAAAATTAAAAGTTAAAACATAAAATAAAATAACTCAGACATGTTTAATTTCTAAATTTGATTCTAAAAATAAATAAAAAATAGTTACAATTTTTAAAACTTTTTTTATAAAACAGGTCTTCAACACACAACATCAATATCAACAATATCTTTATCTAAATTTGGTGGGGTCAGTAATAGATGAACCCAAAAAAAAGGTACCAAAAGATTGAAAAAAAAGGATAAAAATAAACATTATATATATATATATATATATATTAGGAAAAAAATACAAATAAAAATATATAGAAAAATGGAGAAGAATAAGAAGAAAATAAAATAAAATGAAGAGGAATATAGGGACAAAAGAGGAAGAAAGATGAACGGGAAAAAAGAAATACAAGAAAAAAGGAAAAAGAAAGAGAGGGAGGAGAGGGAGGAAGGGAGATAAAGAAAAGAATGACTAAAAAAAGACGATCTTAACTTATAAAATAGGTCTTATCAAACAATTTTTTTTTCTTCTGAAAATCAAAAAATTATTTTTCAAAATAGATTTCAAAGAGACCCTATCATTCTTAATTTGTTTTTTTTTAATAAATAAACCATGCTACGTCATGAATTATTGGGCTATAAAAGAACAAATAAGAAGCTAATTGGGTCAAATAAATGGATAGCGACCCATCTAACTGGACTACGGTATAAAAGAAATCAATGACCTGTTAAAATTTGTCTTAAAGTAACTTAGGGGTAGTGGACAACTGATTAGCAACAATGTGCATTCCCCTAAAATTTTAAGAATTTCAAGCCCATCACAATCTGTCCCTGGAATTCGTACTAACTATGTAAATTAATAAAAAAATTTGTTAATGTTCAATTAAAGAATTTCTCGTCAGACATAATGAGATACAATGAAAATGGGTTAATTTGGTGCCTTTCTTTTTCTCTTTATTATATGACCCCACTCCTCTATGTCTCTTACAAAGATAATTGTTCATAGGTAATTTGCATGAATAGGGAATGGGAGCCTCTGCAATTTTGTTTCATTTTCTTTCCCATACTCAATAATGATTTGCTTTTAAGGCTCTAAAATTCAAATCATAACCTTTTATATACCCAGACAATACTATCAGACACATACATGCATTATCAAAATCTTTGTGCTATGTAAATGTAATGTGTCCTGTGTTGCTTCCCATGGTTTACCCCATTAGGACCCTACCCAACTTTTAATTAAAGTGTTATAGCCTATAACAGACGCTCCTCTTCCTATATTTTCCCCTACTTTTGTCATGTTATCTGTACACATCTGGAAAGCTAGTTAACACTTTCAGCTAGAGGTGTCAATTGTCAATTTTATCTTCTGATCATGGCCTAATAGCTAGATACCCTTTGTCTATTTTGGCCTCACACGTTCAAGTTTTTCATCCCCCATTTCAAAATACAAATCTTCAAATGCCTGAAGACAAATAAAAACAAAAAAAAAAAATATAAAAAAATGAGAATAGGGAAAAGAAAAATACAAGGAATGTACATGCTACCTGATCTGAAATCATATGGTAACCACTTATAAATAGTAATTCTAATTTAGTATTAGTAAGTTTTTTTTTGGATTTTTCAAGCCCCCCGCGAAGTAGGACCACTTCAAAATTTGAAGCAGTGTTCTCTCTCCCCTCCTTGCCCTTTAGATATAACATAGAATATGGAGCAGTGTGTAAGTGGGTCAGGAATAATGTAAGGGGAATCTGCAAAGTTTTGCGCAAAAACTGAATCTTGTTTTGAAGATGACCTCTTGTGCTCATTCAAAAGAAAAAGAAAAAGAAAAATTATCAATTATTAATGTTCATACTTCATAATGTAATATACAATGCAAATGTATAGAACGGATAAGATGTTATTGGATTCAAAATATTAAACACCATTTTTTTTACGAGGAGGATTATACTTACTACCAAATAAGTTTATTACCTCTTTTTATCTTATTTATAACTGTTGGATAGTGGTCAGCAAAACAGAGAAAAGTGAAAGAGAGAATGGGGAAGTGGTTGAAAAGAGAGATAGAAAATTTGTATCAAATAATATCAAGTAATTTGATTTCATCCGAAAGTTATAAGAGAAATAGTAAGAGATGGTAAACTTACTTGGGTAAGTATAATCTCTCTTTTTTTTATTACATTAATTAAAATTAGTCCACTGCATATTATTTTTGTTTTTGAATCAGTCTCAGTGGCCTCTCCAATGATTTGAAAATTGTAGAAGTTAAGGTGATATGTTAAGACAGAGAACACTAAATTTTCAACATTTTAAAACTTTGCCGCATTACTTATTTATTATTCCCATATCTTGAGAGCATGCTTTGAGATACTATTGGCCTCCAATGAGATTATGTTAATGCTTCACAATGTGAACAAAGTTAAAATAAAAGCTAATTGCATGGATTTGAGTGTTGTACATTTTTATGAAAGTTCGTAAGACTTCTAAACACTAATTGTATAGCAAATCTATGCAATTTAATTTGGAGGCAAGAGATAGAGAACTTACCCAATGAGTGCAGCTCAGTTGGTAATTTGGCGCTGAGTTTGTGGGGTTGGATATGTGTTCAATTTCCGCTGAATGCATTCTTGGGGAGGGGGCTGAACCTTTAGCCATCACTGTTCCCCCGCACTCCGGATTAGTCTCATAGCCGGCTCAAAGACTCGAAGCTCGTGGGGATACCGGAGAGAGCCAACTCGTCTCAAAGAGATAATTAGAGTTGAGTAACTCCAAAAAAAAAAAAAAGAGATAGAGAAGTTGAATAATGAGGTTCTTAATTTGTAGCTTTATGCTTTTTTTGTAATCGGATTTTTTGGACCACTTCACTCTCGAAAATAACACCTCATTTAATTACTCATCTATGTGAGATGTATGGAAAACTAAGAGTCATATCAAAGATAGAGAAACATTTAATTCCCCACAAAAGCATGGTCTTTTTGTGGTCCCTTTTACATTATTATTACCAGGGGTAAGACCAACCAAAATCTAGGTGATGTAAGATTTTTACTTATCCTGTTCCAGTCCCAACTTCAACACCCAAGTTTTATTAACAGATCAATTTATGTTTGAGTGAATTAGGTGAAAGTAACTGAGATGATTTAAATAATTGTTGCACTGAATTCATTCAAGAATTGGAAGACAACTAAAAATGGCATTAAGTTTTGTTAGGTATTGTAAGGTATGATTGATGAATGGTCTATAGTTTAGAGAAAAGGTTTAAAATCAGTGGTAAAGTGAATCAGGTGGTCATTTCTGACATGACTGTGATGGCCCAAATCAATAATAAGTCAAATTCTGAGCTCTATTGAATTATGACAACCTATTGGTTAGGTGTTTCAAAAATCTCATCTTGTTTAGGTTTGTTGATTTGTTAACGTGAACCTAGGATGAACGTATCTTGCATTTGTTATTTTTTTATTCAATTTTATGACATTCAATTTTAACATGTATTTCTAATGCTTTATTTGACAAAAAAAAAATGGACTGCCAAATTGAAAAGTTCACTGTAAAGAGTAAAATATGTAGTGAATTATTATTGATAAACAATTAAAATCTTTAAATACATGAAGTATAAAAAACCAGATTATAATTAAAATTCTCTGAAAAATATTTTCTAAGCTGAATCCGGAGAGGGATACATAAAGGTAGAAAGAAGTAAAAATAACTTATCTCTTACATAAAAAGTATATAAATAGAGGACTAAAAATTAGATTTTTTTTTAAAAAAGGTTTATCACAAGTTTTATTAAGAGCTCGTTTGACTTGTAAAAAAAAGTTCTTTTTATGACTTTCTTATTTTAAAAGCACTTTCTATAAAAGTTATAGTTACTTAGATTTTTAAAAAATATTTGATTTTTGAAAAAAAAATATTTGGTTTTTGACTTCTGCTTTTTTAGAAGTTAAAATTTTTAGCTTCTGAAAAAAGTAAGTTTTTGACTTTTTTTACAACTTCTGCTTTTTTAAAAAGCAGACATCCAAATAGACTTTTTTCGAAAACTATTTTTTTCTCTTAAAAAAAAAATAACTTTTGAAGAAAAAAAAAATCCATCCAAATGAGCTCTAAAAGGATACTAAAAAAGGATTACCAAAAAAATAAATAAAAGGGTACTGAAAAATATTGCGGAACCCTTCTTTAGAATTCAGGAGCCAAAAAAGTAACGCTACACAGCTAAAATTTCCTTAGAATTTTGTCAAAATTAAAGTCAACCCCTATGCTAGTCCTCTCTTATCAGTCAGTGACCATTCCTAAGGGGCTGTTAGTTCCACACGAAAATGTCTATTCAACTTAACTGATTCGCATAGTCACATATTTATTTTAGTC